GGAATTTGTTTATGGTTTCTGGGTTTGTCTCGAAAATGCTGTTGTGCGCTGGATTTTCCGGTGTTGAGCTCTGTTTTACTGCGTAGTGTGTGTGTTTGTGTAAGAGTGTGTGTCTGTGTTTGTGTGTGTGTGTGTGTGTGAAAGAGAGAGCGAGAGAGAGAGAGATTTCAATTCATCTTTAGATAACTATCACTTTTATCGATCCCACGTTCATTGACTCCGAAGGCAGTCACACTGGCCGTTCGGCCACCACAACTTTCAACAGGAAAGGGTAGATTAAGCTCCATATACAATGTATTTACAACACTGTTTCAGAAGTTTCCGAACTGCTAAAACTGGAATCATAGGCCTAACACAATATTCACCACTAGCCTACCACAGCCAATCAGAGCACCACTAGCTTACCCACAGCCAATCAGTTTCTGGCTGACGGGCTGCTGCTAGCCGCAAGTATAAAGTTCGTTCTGGGAAAAAATTGAGTGAAGCCACGTCTGCGGGGGCTGTTCACCCTGGAAGCGACCTCGTTGAATCCGAGCTCGCTGATTTATGTGCTCGTTTTAAAGAAAAAAAACAAACGGGGAATCTATCTCATCTCGTTGAATCCGAGTTCTCGTTGAATCCGAGTTACACTGTACTAAACACTTTTGCTTACACACGCATGACCCGCGTCTATTCACCAGCGTGACGTGTCGGGAGACGCTCTATGACTCTATGATGTGAGTATTGTGAGGCTGGCCTTGTGTCACAAATTCAACGTTTACGTCCATTGTTACAGACTAGGTAAACAGTGTGGTGAGCGACTGTTCATCTCACATACGATTTGTGTATAGTAGTGGGCGGGGGCTTATCGATTATGACTATGATGGATCACACACTTTCCTCACCAGCAGCTGAAAATTCATTGTTACCAATTGGTAAACTTGGGTAAGCAGTGGGAGAGACTTACACAACAAGATCTGTTCATTCATAGGCGGATCTATCATAATAACATCAGGTGACTGGATTCTCACAGCATTTGGGGCCAATACATAATTTATGATGAGAAATTCGTGTGGCCATCTTAGACTTAAGACAGGTATTTTTGGTTGTTGGTTGATAAAATATGGCAGCCACGTAGGACAGGTGACTGTTCTACACAGTGAAATAACATGTATGTATAGAAAAAAATGCAAAGGGGGAAATGGAAAGTGGCTGTCTGTACAGGTGGCCATATATTGCAAGGTGTGACTATAATTGGTCGCTTTTTTTATACACAAGGAGGCATCCCGCAAAAATGCAGTTTTGATTTTGAGAAAATCGAAGGTAAAGTTTTTGCTCCTTGTTCACTTTCTTTAAAAGACCAAACAAATACACCAACGAAACCAAACTTCTAGGAGAATGCCTACTTCTGGTGTAGGCCAAAATTTCTGGAAACCCCTGAAATCTGGGTTAGCCCGCTTGTCCTTAAAAGCGACCAATTTCAAGTTCAAGTGTAGGATGAAAGGAATAAAACAAACAAAGGAATGTTGGTGATACACATGAGGATGCTTTATTTACAAAAAGTGAGTCCAGTCTAATCCCAAACTCAAAGACTTATGTCAGAGCGTCTTCATTTCTAATGTATTCTCCAGTATCTGCCTGGTGAAACACCACGATTGTCATGGGGTCACAATTTCTGCAGTTTAGAGTTGACTTGGCAGCAACTCCAAACCCCTGAGAATTACAAAATAGTCAACAAAAAATTTTTCAAGTAGATTGTAATCAGCAACACATATCAGGATAATATCAATAATAATATATCTACAGTCGGGGCACATATTATAACTCAAACACATCCAAGGTTTTTGGGGGGATACGAAAGTCAAAATGACTCCAGATAACACACAACAGTACCGTACTAGAATGTAATCAGTGGAACAAGGGAGGCACCAAAAACACAACGGTAGGCCAATGATGTACACGGTGGGAACATGCAAGGCTAATGCTAATGAAGGCGAACGAATTCCCATTATTAATTATACAGTGGAACTCGGATTCAACGAGATGAGATAGATTCCCTGTTCTTTTTCTTCTTTAAAATCAATAAAAATAACCCGGATTCAACGAGCACTTAAATCAGCTAGCTCGGATCCAACGAGGTCGCTTCCAGGGTGAACAGCCCCCGCAGAGGTGGCTTCTCATTATTTTTCTCCCAGAACGAACTTTATCTATTCCCGGAAACCATCCATTGCACTTGCATAGTGAACCATTATTCACTTAGCCGATTGCATGCGACCAATCAGCAGCCTTTTTTAATACCAACACATGCCTTGTTTGCACATGCACATGTCTACTCTGGCGTGTGTCGGGGTCAGATGGTCGGCCTCCACACGTGTGGCTGTGTGTGCGAGGGGGGCACTAGCGGTCCGGGCGTTGAACGTCGCAGATACAAACACGTCACAGTCTTTTTCCCCCCTTTGCAACTGATCATTATTACAATGATAAGCTAGTCTTGACGTAGATCTACGTAATGAATTGTGCGCTGGTCTAAGGAATCAAAAGTTGTCATATGCTAGGCTCTTCACAGAACACAACTTTTTTTTGGTAAACAATCGAGATGACACAGGCGTGTGCATTTGAACGAATCGGTCTTTTTTTTTTTTTAACACGGCTCATAATATGCAGACATTTCAGGCACTACTTTTGACTTCTCTTTATTCATTACTTGCTATTTATATAACGAACACTCGGATTCAACGAGATTTTAGACCAGGCCCGGCGACCTCGTTGAATCCGAGTTCCACTGTAGCAGCACACACTTCAACTGCAGACTTCTCTAAGAACTGTCTTGTTTTAGTTGTAGTATAGTTTTTTTTATTGCCATTGGAGGCTCTGTTTTTTTTTCCATAAGAGGATCCACAACGCTACTTGGGTATCACCGAATGGAGTGACGGAGAACCAGATTGATCATTTTTGTATCTCTCGTAGGTTCAGGCGCTCACTGGAAGATGTCAAAGTACAGAGAGGGGCAGACGTTGGATCGGATCATCATCTGCTGTTAGCAAAACTCAAGCTTCTTCTCAAAAAGCATGGAGCCAGAACAGGAATCAAAAGAATGAAGTTCCAAGTAAGTCTTTTAGAAGGACACAAGAAACAGGAGTTTCAACTGCAGTTGAAGAACAGATTTCAACCCTTGGCGAATCTTGGTGAGGAAGACATGGAGGTGGATACACACTGGACCAAGGTCAAAGAAGTCTTTACATCAACATGTCAAGAAGTACCCAGAGTGAAGAAATGGGAGCACAAGGAATGGATTAGCCAACACTCATTGGATTTAATTAGGATAAGAAGACAGCTGAAGGCAGAAGCGAATGCAAGTAGAACAAGAGGATCAAGAGCGGATGCATTGGAGAAGTACAGAACAACAGCTAAAGAAGTCAAGAAATCACTAAGAAAAGACAAGGAGGAATTCATGAACAGGCTAGCAGAGAAGGCAGAGGAAGCAGCGATAGGAGGGCACATGCGAATCCTTTACCAGACCACAAGGACACTTTCTGGAAAATACGGGAAATCTGAAGTACCAGTAAAGGACCAAGAGGGGAAAAACATTTTTGTAAAGGAACCTAAGTCCAAACGATGGGTAGAGCATTTCAACAGTCTCCTGAACAGACCACCACCGAGTAACCCACCAAACATACTGCCAGCAAGAAATGAGTTACCAATCTGCTGTGATGCTCCTTCAAAACAAGAGATTCTGGATGCCATTAAGAAACTGAACAAAGGTAAAGCGGCCAGTCCCGACCAGATACCACCTGAAGCCGTAAAAGCAGATGCCAATGTGACGGCAGACATCCTCCTCCCATTGTTTACCAGGATTGAATGAGAGAAAATTCCCAAAAGATTGGAAAGAAGGACACCTCGTGAAGCTTCCAAAAAAGGGGGATCTCAGCAACTGCAGCAACTACAGAGGGATCACTCTTCTCTCAATACCAGGTAAGGTCTTCAACAGAATCATTCTGGAGAGAATCAAGACAGCAACGGATCCAAGACTACGGGATGAACAGGCTGGTTTCCGGAAAAATCGCTCAACCACCGACCAGATTGCCATGCTGAGGATCATTGTGGAACAGTCTCTGGAGTGGAACTCCCTGCTGATCGTCAACTTCCTTGACTATGAGAAGGCTTTTGACAGTGTAGACCGAGCAACACTATTGAAGCAGGGCTGCCTACCTCAAAGTCCCCATTTCAGGTAGATTCAAGGTCATTTTCAGGTAGATTGGCCCAAAATCAGGCAGTACAAAGATAAAGAAGAAAAAAAGATGATCGTTGCCCCACCGAACGCGCTTGCTTTCCGAGATATTGGGTCCTTATATTTTGAAAACTTGTTTGAGCATGCACATGTGTGCGTGTGTGTGTGTCTGTGTGTGCATGTTGCCATGCTCTCGCATGTGCCTATATATGTGTGTATATATATGTGCGTGGAGAAGGAAGGGGGTGTATGGGGGTGCACAAGTTATGATGAACAGTGGGTATGAAATGAGGCGAGGTTTTTTTTTTTTTTAAAATCATTTTATGGACTATCGTTCAAGGCACCTATCATTCAGTATTTAATCTGGGATTGAGTGCAGGGTGATTGCCAAACTGACTTCAAAACCCCTAGCCCATACCAACAGAAACTAAATTAAAACATAATTTTCCTGACACTATAATTTTAGCATCAGTTTCTTGCACCGCGGCCTTTTCCTGCTGCCGTAGACTTTATTGCATCAAACACCTCCCCTCAATTCCGACGCCCTGCAACACTCCTACTTTGAATGAACTTTGATAAGGCTTTCCCCAACAACCACCGGCCGGTCCCTTGCTCATGCCGTACTCATGAACTCTCACAGGTTCATTGACCGATCACGATGAGGGGCCTGACAATCTAGAAATTGGAGGACGCGTGTTTTCTTTTTCTCCCTTTTTTTTGGTCATTATAGTGACATCAGTGAGAATATCGATTTAATGTTTATGACCACACTGTGTTTTTTACCTCCATACTGCAGGTTACAAATTTTTATTAACTGTAAATCTGACGTCAACGAACTATCATCGGACAATTCTGAGCGCTTACGAAAGCGAAAGTAGATTTTGATTTTCCCAATGGAGTCTCAGTATTATAATAATAATAATAATAGATAGCATTTGTATAGCGCATATCCCCGCTCAGCAGCAGGCTCTATGCGCTTTACACTATATTATTACCCCAGCAGACCATAGAACACTCCGAAACATTCTCAGCTTCCCGGGAAGCATACAGTGCAAGCAGCCGATTAAGCGCTCAAACACTAACAAACTGACAAGATCTTTCGCTGTCTATAGCCGGGTACCCATTCCCACCTGGGTGAAGTGAGGGAAATTCGTGTAAAGTGCCTTTCCCAAGGACACAATGTCGGGCCCTTGACGGGATTCGAACCCACGACCTTACGGTTGCGAGTCCGAGAACCTAACCACTAGGCCACCGACGCGCAATACCTACACTTCCGATTGTCGCCATAGCCGCTCATTCGCGCGAAACGTACTCTCCGACTGGAGAAAGCCGAACGTAATATCACAAACGCAACCAGTAAAATATGAACTCAGAAGGCTTTTCAGATTTGGTTTCGAGGACTCTGCATTTTCTCGGGTCCCAGGTAATAAATTCCCGCAGTCCCCCTGCGTAGAACCCTTATTTGGTACTGACCAATTCTCTAGTCCAAGACAGATTTTAGAATGTTTTGCTTCAATACCGATTTTCCTTCTAAATTCACAATTCTGTTTTCTGGATAAATGAATTAAATGCACAGATTTTCCAGCCGCAGCAAAAAATTTAAGATAGACAGAAAGAAAGAATGAATGAAAAGAAGGAGGAAGATTATCTATCGTGAGTAGACAGATTTCAGCCGATATGCACGTGAAAAACTATTGTCGACCGAACAGCACAGATAGACAATGGTCGAGTGTACGAAATGCGCAATCTGGCAGTTTCTAATACAACTTATTGCCGAGAGTTGCCGTAAATATCTGACAAGTCACGGAGGCAAGTGCTGATCTCTCTCTCTCTCTCTACGCATGGAGTTGATATGATGATTCGGCAAGTACGGAACTTTCGGAATGTACGGATTTCCGTAAAAACAAAGAAGAATGGAAGCACTGCAGAATGTTTTTTAAAATTTTTATTCTCTGGACACCCATCGCAAATCCGGTAGTTTTGACATCTTATCGGTATGTCGGTAGAACAGGCCCAAAATCGATATCTACCGGAAAAATCGGTAGATTTAGGCAGCCCTGTTGAAGATACTGAGACACCACGGAATCCCACAGAAGTTGGTGAACCTCATTAAGAGTATGTACGAAGAGACAAGTTGCAGGGTTGTACATGATGGCCAGCTCACTAACAACTTTGACATCAAGACTGGTGTGAGACAGGGATGTTTATTATCACCGTTCCTCTTCATATTGGCAGTTGACTGGCTGATGAAGAAAACCACCAGAGGACACAGAAACGGTATACAGTGGACACCATGGACACAGTTGGACGATCTGGACTTTGCAGATGACTTGGCACTTCTGTCACACTCTCAGGAACAGATGCAAGCAAAGACGACAATTTTAAACAGCCTATCCGAGTCTGTTGGATTGAGGATCCATCCCGGAAAGTCGAAAGTCCTAAGGATAGATGCACGGCGAAAGGAGCAGGTCACAGTACAAGGAAA